CACCCCTTTCTACAAACAATTTAAAACTATCTATTTCTGTGGAAGTCATTTTTCTCATTGAATGATCAGAAACAAAGATAAATTCTAACCTTTAATGGCTCATTCCGACTCATTGCTTACAGTAGATCTAAGCTCTTTTTTCTGCTTATTCGACTCCTTCCAGCTTCCCATCACATCTGTAACAAACTTCTAAAATATTGCCACACCACCATGCACAAGCCTACCTGCACAGTAGAGATAGATTATTCCATCACATTCAGATGGTTAACAGAGGTTAGTGAGTCCTGTATTTATATATCTATATATTTTATCGCTTTCTAAGAAAGTGCATATTAATGTTTACTTTAAAGAATGTGTAAATGGTGCTATCAAGAAATCTGATAAATTTTATCCCAGTTTTTTGTGTACCAGTTCAAATGTATGAGATTTATTTTTCTATTGGAAAAAATAAACAGTCTTAAAGCATTAAAATTGGTAGATTTTAGTAATTTAACAATGAATGTAATCCCTACATCAAAGTTTCATTGGAAATTGTCATGATGGGTCATGCAAATTACAGCACACATACAGACAAATATTTCACAGTTTGATATGAACATTCCCCTTTAAGGTTTTGCCTAATGCAGAGTATCTACAGGATCAGAAAACTAGGAAATCTGAGGCAGACATGCTTGAAGAAAAGTTTTATTACTACAAGAAAGCATTGATGGTATATTGAGACTGGTGGTTCTTCAAATGGCCAAAAATAATCCTAATCTGTATGCATATGGGGCACAGAATCCCATAGTTATAAAACACTGTATGTTTTGTTAATTTAATTATTCACGAGGAGGAAAATGAATTTAGCCTTAATTATCTAAAAGTTTTTCCTCCTTGAATCTGCTTGTTTTCCCACAGGCATTAATATACATAGTTAGCTGCAGTTGTATGTCAGTGCCATTTATAATTGGTAAGTATTATCTGCATTTAAAGATCCTCAGCAGAATGTATAGCAGACATTTCATTGAGATTCATGGTACTTAATGCAGTAAACATCACAATTCACAATATACTAGAATATGGCCTAAATCTTACAGAACTCAATGCCATGTAATGAGTTTAACTGAAGATACAGATTAAAACAGATGGAACTAAGCAAAAAAAAAAACTTTCTACAAATAATATTATTGGAATGAGAAATAAGTGTTCCATAAATATTTTTAAAAATCCAGCCATGTGTAATTTTCTTTTAAAAATAGCTTTATACTACATTACTGATAGAACAGCTGCCCTTCTCTTACAATGGGGATCTCTAGATAATGTTAATATGAAAGCCTAGACATTTTGATAAATTTAAATGAGTCTAAAGCATATATAGTAATCTATTTTGAGAGAGCTCTGGAGAAATGCATATTTGTATTTGTTTTATAAATACACACATGTTTATTTTTGACTTAAATTATATAGAGTTTGTAATAAAAGGAGTATATAAAACCTGTTTTCACTTTTCAGTTTTATGGAAGAAAGTTAAGATTCTTCAGAAACCAGCAATCTGTTACGGATAAATGTGTAACAAGGAACACCCTCTTTCAAAATGGCTCACTTCCCCATTCTTTTAAGTAAAGGAAGCAGATGCTGGGTGTGCATTCTGTTGCATGCAAATGTTCTATTGCAATGAATGGGAAGGGCAAATGGTCCAGATCCAGTATGTTGCTTAAAGTTAAGCCAAGGATCACAGTGCCTCTTTCATAAAAACGAATAGTGAAATGCAGTAGATTTTCGTATTTGTTTAAAAGGATCTAACCGTGTACTTACTCTTCAACATTGCATCCTAAGCATGATTGCCCTGGAATACAGAATAACAGAGTATTTTTATTTGTTGGAGCTCTGGAGGAATCTATAGAAAAATATGCTCATGTTCTGCCCACTGCTGACAAATAGTAATTAGAAATAATTATGGGGCTGTTCCAATAATGCACTATATTGTTTGTGATAATATCAACAAGATGCAAAATCACTAACCTGAAGGGAACAAACAATCCCCCCAAAAGCAAGTAGTGTAAATGAAAATTACACTCCGTGTCAAGAGGGCATTGTGCAATATGAACCCTATTTGTAGTAAACTATGAACACAAAGGAGTTGTACTATTTTTTTATATCACAATACTAATATGGTCATAATGAATTTCTTTAACATGCAATGTTGAAGTGTTGAGATTTTAAACCATGTCAATGCTATGTAATGTGACTAAGATTAATATTTGCCATTTGCTTGGGAAGGAAAATTAAATGTGTAACTGATGGTGGCAGGACCATGTGGCACTTTTAAGCAGTGATCATTTGTATGAATCTCCATATTAAAATAATCTTTAATACTGACGTTGCTTGTATTAACTGTTCTTCTTGGTTTTTTTTAATTTTCCCTGTTTTTGTTCTTTTTTCTTTTTTCTCCTCCTCCTCCTCTTCTGCTTCCTCCTCCTCTTCCTCTTCCTCCTCCTCTTCTTCTTCGCACAGGTAAAAAAACATTCTAAGTACTCCAATGGTTGCTATTTTAAATGAGCAGGTTTAGTCTTAGAAAGATGAACAGAGTGCCTTGAAGCTTAGCACTCAGTGTTTAACTGACAGATAGATCCTCTTTACTGGCCCTCAAGGAGATTTCTTCCTCCTGGAAAGCAATTGCAAAGACAGGCATGTCTTGAGATCCTGTAACACAAGGGATGTGATTATCTGACCATTACAGTGTCAGATAGTTATACATCCATAACAGAGCCCAGAGTTTTATTTTTGATTTAAGAAGAACATGATTACAATTTGGTACCCATTTTTGAGGTTGGCTTTAAAGTTAACTATGAAGAAATGTTTGTGTTAATATTATACAGTACAGTAGTAAATAAAGACTAAAAGCTATTGAGATAATATTTTATTGGTAAACCGAAAATTAAAATTAGGATTATAGCAGTTTAGGTTAACTTTCCCATTGCCCATTGCCAGTGTTTGCTTATTTGAGTCAGATTGTGTCCCATGTAACAAGTGATATTGGAAAGTTAATTTGCTCCATAAAAGATTAAATGTGCAACAAAATGCTGTGGTGGGGAGTCCTTCTATTCATCCAGTCAGCTTCTTCCAGGATGCACCATTCCAACACTGTATGACTACTATGTTTAGTCCTCCATGGGCTGTTAAGGACAGATCCCCTTGGGTATTCCACCTTAAAGATGTCTATTTCTGCAACCCTTGAAGTTCCTACAAGCATGCTGATAACGACCTTTTGTTTCTCAGCAACCCCATTTTACCTGCAAGCAGGCACTTGCCATTTGAATGAGTGATATCCTTATAAGTAATCTGTTCAAAGGCACACCTGTGGAGGAGATAGTTTCAACATACTTTTTTAATATCAATAAATAAAAAAGAAAGCAGACGTATTCCCAAGAACACCCATATAATTGCATGAATTAAAAAAGCTTCTGCCATATTTTCAGGGATAATTTTTAAAAATCCAAAGATCTGCCTTTTATGAAACAAACATATATGGATGGAAAGCTGCTTTAAAAATGTAAGTATATGTTAATAGCTGTTTGGCTTACTTGACCAAGGAGAAACAGGTTGTTTGAGGACAGTTGGTTTTCCAGTGCAAAACAATCATACATTTTCCTGTCTCCCATTTTTCCACCCCCAGAAAGGGGAACTGATGTAATATCTCATTAAAGGGATCTAGTTGAATTAGTTAGGGCTGGGGTTGTTGAGTCTATAAGTGTTTTAAGTGGCTCTAATTTTCATCCTGTAAAACGTGGGCAGATGGAACAGATTGGATCAAATTGAAGAATTTCTGCAAGTATTTCTACAGCTTTAATCTTAAACATGAGTTGTAATCTTAAACAACTTGTTAAGTATGAAGTAGGACCTTAGTGAAAGTAATCCGAGTCATTGTGCTTAAAGTAAGGTGGCATAAAGAAGAGATGAAAAACAGATTTCATTGATATTCTATAACCACAATAAAAGGTATAGAATTCAATAATATTGACTCTATTATTAACCGTAGGTGCCACCCAGTCAAGTAGTTTCAGCAAGGACAGGGCAGTTCCAACAAAAAGTACAAAAATAATTATGCTTCATTTTCAAAATATTGCGTCTATGATTTCTTTGAAAAGGTATCTGAAAAATATTCACCTGTAGGCTGCATAAGACTCTTGAGGTTATATATGCTCACCATGTCACAAAGTGCCTAGCCCTAAAGGTTAGTGTGCAGATTGGCAATTTGAAAACTACAATCCAAAATTGGATCCTTAACTCACTGGAACTAATCCAGTAATGAAGTAAAATAATGCCTTTACAGTCCTGGAAACATGACCAAGTTACAGACACTGCTACCATCATTGCTGATAAGGTTCCCTGAAATCTAGTTGCTTCTATTTATTTTAGTAACCTCTGCTTATTTTTTCCCTTCACACAGCAAAGGAGAAGCAAAGAAATGCAATGTACTCTTTACTGAATATGCTGTACAGTAGATCTCCCTTATAGAATTGTAAATTGGTCTTAAGGATGATGATGGTGATAATGACAATGGATGATGATAGCAACAGCAGCAGTAATGCTAACAACAACCACTTGTTGCAGTTGTATTAGGCTACAATCTGGGATTAAATTCCAGTGGACTCAATGGCGATTGCTTCTGTGAAGACATATAATGGATTACTATATGTGTTACTGTGTGTATTATGCATTTCAGACATTTGCCCTTGGTTATGCTATCACGACAATACCATAAATAAACTGCAAGATATGGTCATTGCTGCCCTGTTTGAAATTAACATCTTTCAAAGGGAGTGTTTTACAGGAAAATTTTACTGTGAGGGTCTAAAATAAATGGGTACTATGCTAAAGCACAATAGGATTACTAATACTCTGAGAATTTGGGTTAAAAATGCTTTTCAAGAGGTGTAATTATGAGATGTTTTCTTGAACAAGTACCACTGATATAGTAGTGCTCTTGCACAACTCCCATTCATTGGGTTTACACAGCG